ACTAGAGCTCCTTCTATAGAGATACTGCCTCAGAAATCTAATAGTTGGTAGATGAACCCCCCTAGTGGCACTGCAGAAGAAAAGCTTTTGCGATATGTTTCCATAAAGATTACAGCCAAGAAAACCCTACAGAGCCGTTCTATTCTGTGACACATGGTGTTGCCACACGTTGGAATTGACTTGACGGCAATGGGTTTGGTTTTTTTGGAGGAGGCTGTAACGTAAGAGTGGCTGTAATATAAGACTTGACTCTAGACATACAGAGAGAGAGGATCTGAGAGAATGTTTTGGAAAGGTCCATATCTTCTATTAATAGACTATATACATACAGGGGAGGGATAAAGAGAGAAATAAACTCTAGGGTAATGAAGTTAGAGAACATGGATATTAATGGGGAAATTGGAAGGGAGAAGATGAGCTTAATGCCTACTGATAGTTGCTTAACAAATGTTTATTGTTGATTATGATGGTTAGTTTTATATAGTGACAAAATATCTACAGAAAACTCTAGAAAATGTCATACAGTACTCAATAGTAAATGAATGAGAAAGAAGAATAAAGAAATAACCTTTCATGTAGCAACAATATATTTTAAACTTGATAACTGCCAAGAAAGGGTGCAAGTGTTAAATTGGTATCTCCACATTATGTGACAAGCAAGGCATATTATATGCATCTGTATATACTAATCTTCTTAGTACTCCATATGAAGTGATCTGGCACACAAGAAGTAGAGTGGAGGCTGGGATAAAAGATTAAGCATAATAGGTAAAAACAGACTTCAAAATACCTGCATATAACACAGTCTCTATGCGATCTTTAATGTGGGCTCTGCTGCTCTCAGCAGCAAGAAGAGGTGAAGTCCCATTTGGAGCTGGAACAACAAGTGGTCCAACTAAAAATGCACACGCTCCACCAAGATAACTGAGCATTGATGCAATAGCTGTGGCAGTGGCCCGTTCATCTGCAGAAAACCACGTCGTGGAGAGGAACGGAGCTGCATTCATTACTGTTGGACCTGCCAATCCATTTAACATCTGTCCTGCATGGATTAGTCTGGAATTAAAAAAGTAAAAAAGACTGTGAGGTAGCCAAAGCAGGCATTTTCTAAGACAGGAAGAAGTTAGCCAAACAGCAGTTTAACTACAGTAATTTGTATACATGCCTGTAAACAAAATAATACACCTAAAAGGTAAAGTATGTTGACACTCTATATAATAATAGTTAGCAATATTCATTTCACAAATATTTACTGAAGCCTCTGATTTGTTCCATGTATCAATCTAAGTATCTCCTACAATTTCATTTTATTTAATCCTTACAACAACTTTATGTGGTAGCAATTAACATCCCCATTGACTGACATGCAAAAACCTAGGCTCAGAAAAAATTAGGAAACTTGTCTACCTGCTAAAGGGCAAAGCTGAAATTTAGACCCAGGTCTGATTCCAAAACCCATATTCCTTCTACTAAGTGGCTGCTCATAAACAGACATAGTAAGTACCACCATTCCTACAAATAATCCGTTGAGTTCAACATTTCACGCCTACTTTGTGCCAGGTATTAAAATACAAACTAATCTTTTCAGTATCTTCTACTAGAAAAGCAGTAGGTTGAGAAATCAAAGGACCTGGGTTCCAGCCCAGCTCTGTAACCAACCAGTGGAATGGCCTTGGGCAATACATAACTTCACCTGTAAAATAAAAAGATTAGTCTAAATTCAACACATGTTCATTAAACATTTGTTAGGTTAAGCATTGGAGTCTCTGGGTGGTACAAATGGTTAGCGTGCTTGGCTTTTAACCAAAAGGTTGGATGTTCAAGTTCACCAGAGGTGCCTTGGAACAAAGTTCCAGGGATTTACTTTCAAAAACTGAGCCGCTGAAAACCCTCTGGAGCCCAGTAGTACTATGATACACATGGGGTCATCATGAGTCAGAACTGACTTATGGCAATTGGTTTCTGGTTTAACCATAGGATCTCTAGTTCCTTTCCAGTTCTAACACAGGTATGTGACAATGTCCACCAAACCTTCTGTGAAACAGGGCATTATGTGATCTGGATGTAGTACAAACACCATATCACATATAGCACATATATTTTATATAGTCGATAACATATATCAACATAACCCCCTTACAAGCGACTCTGTCTCCATTAGCACCTGGAACCTTGGGGTTTGCAAATTTGCACCTGTAATTGGCTGCCTCTGGGCACAGGCATGCTCTCTGAGCAGCTCCCAGGGACCCTGTCCAGTATCAGATGCTTTGAGGGACAGAAGAGAATGGTAAGCATCTCTCTCACCAGCCTGGACCAGCAAAGGGGTAGGACAGAGCATGGCAGATGTGGAAGTCACGGCAGCCGTGGCTCAGCTGCAAGACTGGGGAGTCCTGGGAGTAAACCACTGCTGCCAAAGCAGCAAACTCAATACAGTGCCCTTCCAAGCAAGCCCTTCTTCCCTGCCCCACAGACATATATCCTGTGGGACATTGCCCAAATGGCGTTACATGGTGCATACCTGCTCTCTGATTTTGACTTTAGTTGTAAGGATTAATGGAGAGTAGTCTCTTGCACCTATGCCATTTGTTCTTTTGCTCATCTTTTCTCATTATTCTACTTAGCTCTCTATCTTGTTCCTTGCTGATCAGATTCCTTTTTGTCTTTGCACACATTCATATTCAAGAGTGGCCTTAAAGGAGAAAAGGTGTATAGGCAAGAAAGGGAGGCGAGTCAACCTGTTCTGCGGAGGACAGGGAAGGAGCAGTATCGGTACTAACCACAGTACCAGTAACAACTACTGTTGTTATCTTGCTTGCTTTCTTTTTAGGCATCACATGGGTGTCAAATCCTTTTTTATTTTTTTTTTTAACAGTTCCCAACTTAAGTCCCTTAGAAGAGGTTTTCTAAGTACAGAAGGAAATAATGAACCAGCATATGGGGAGAGGTAGAGCCCTAATGTAGAAGCATAAGTGAGTAGGAAGTGAAATATGTGAATCAGGCCTGCCCATATCTTCGTACAGTGTTGGAAAAACTATTTGAAGGAAAAATAGCCCAATGTGTCATTAATATTACTACATTAAGAAAACTGAAGACATTTTGTCATCTTCCTGTGGGAGGGGAACTATTTTCTAGATGACAGAAACAATTTAAACTGTTTATGACTCCAAATACCTCCTCCAAAAGCCAGTGGATCCCAGGCTGTCACACAGCATTTCATCACAGAAATATTCTTGAATTAATGTCATTAAATGGTTTTAAGCATGACTTGTGATGGCATAACAATCAGTCAGGGCATGATGGCTCATCAGCATGACTGCTTTGATATTTTAATGAGTTGTTCCTGAAAGACTCATCTCATTCAGAAGGAGGAGGGTTAGAATGAGTCAATCTTATTATGCCTAAAATTGCTAAAGGTTGAAGGAGAATATGGAGGAAATAACACAGAATAAAAACAAACTGGTAAAATAGTATGCATCTTAAGAGTTAATGTGTAAAACTCAAATTATTGCCATGACTTAACTCTTTGTTACCTCTCACTGGAACCATGAGAAAACAATTTTCCAATCAGTAAATATAGGAGTCTGAGAACATGTGAAGGAGCCCTGGTGCTGCAGTGGTTAAGCACTGAGCTGCTATCTGAAAGGTAGGCAATTTGAACCCACCAGCCACTTGGTGGGAGAAAGAGGTAGTTGTCTGCTTCCATAAAGATTACAACCCTGGAAACCCTATGGAGTAGTTAGTTCTATTTTGTCCTAGAGAGAACGTGTGAGCTTGGAGAGATTTTAGGATCATCTAAATCTAGCTTACTCAATTATCAGATTGGAATATTTCTTACTACAATGTGATACAAATGCTAAACTAGTGCCAGTCACTGAAATCCAAAGCAAGTACAGTATCAATGACCTAAGGTCACTACACTTAGAGGTCTAACCTAGAATATTTAACTCATCATAGTGAAAAATCATCTCAGAAATCCAAATAAGCAGACTTAGTGTTTAAAAACTATTCAGTATAAAAGTGCTTCTTACATTAAAAGTCACATACACACTTGTCAAAAATGAGTTTACGGCGTATGGGATCTT